CATAAATTAAATATGCAGAAATTCAAATTTATTTGATATTTTTATATAATTATTATTAATTTATTTTTAAACTTAATATTTCAAATTATTAAATTATCAAATAAAATGTCTTAAAATTTTGCATGTATAAAAAATTGTTTATTTTTATTGTATTAAAAAGTATGTATTTTTAATTCATATAGTAACGTTGAAACTAATAAATAATAATGAATTTTAACGATTTTAAAAATTCATACACTTTTGTGATTAAGTTTTGATTTAATTTTTAATTTAATTAAATTATTTTTTTTGTTTTTTGTTTTTTATTTGATTATTTTATATGATTTTCTTTTGCTAGTTACCTTTTAGAGATCTTTTCCGAAACACACCTTCAATGATGGAATAAAAGAATGGAATGCGTGCACATATGCATTTACGCATTAGTACGAAATCAAGTACAAATTTAATACATTTTCAAGTTAAATAAATAATAATTTTAATTAAATTAAATATAAATATAAATAAATTATACAAATTAAGAAAATATTTCAAAAAAAATATATATACTATATATAAATAAATTAAATTGTAAATTAAACAAATTTAAACTGTTGGCATACGACGCATGATATCTAAAATGTTTGTTAGTAATATGAGTACAAAGTACTTATGTTTATGTAAAATGTTTGTGTAAATACTGAAAATGTTTAAATGCATATATTTTTTTAATTTTTTTTTTTTTATTATATTTTTTATAATTTATTACATTTAAATGCAATTTATAAACGCAAAACTATACACTTTGTACTAATTTTAACTATAATAAAAAAATCTTTTAGTATTTCTAATTGGCAATTATCATATATATATTTTCTAAAACATCAAATTATTATATGATTAATTATACTTTAAAGCATTTTACCTTTTGATTTAATTACTTACGTCTTGAATGTTATAAAAATTGTTTTGCAATCATTTTTTTAAATAATTGTTTGAATAAATGTTATAAAATTATTTAACATTTATTATATTTATAGTCAAAATTCTAAAATATACAATCAATCAATATTCCTTTTTTTATATTAAAGTTAATTTAAAATAATTTAAAAGCTAACACTCTAGAAAATTTTTTATATTCTTACATCATATACTATTTTATTATATTTAATTTTATTAATTAAAAGATACGGTTAATATGTTCGGAAAACAATTTTCCAAATCTGTGCGGTTGTGATATCTTACCTGGCAAACTTTAAAATATTCTTAAGAAAATATATTTATATATATAAATACTGTTTTAAAAAAATTTTATAGTGTAATGAGAAGGTATTTATTTTCATCAGTGGCATATACAAGACGAGTATTAAGATTCAATCCCACCTAAAATATTTCAGACTATTTTACATAGACATAATAGTTTCTTAAATGCATTAATATAAATTTTTATTGCCTGTTATATTTTATTTACATATAGGTTTTGAAGCTTCAAAGCAATTTGAAAGTAACTTACTTTTACTAGAAAAACGTGCTTCACCTATAACTACACTTTATGGTCTTCCAACACCCATCAAAAATGCCATCAATACACGTTTACCCTTAATAGGACTGTTTCAACAATAATTACACTAAAAGCTGTTCCAATATCGCAAGCACATAATGTCAACTCATAAGTGAAGTACTTAGAAAAAAGTTTAACATAGTGTAAACATATAGCAGCAAAACTGATTAAATCTAATTTTAAGCTTGATCTTAATCTTAAGACCAAATCTTAATTTAAGCAATTACGCTGCGCTGACATATCAACAATCAATCCCCATTAAGCTTAAAATGTAAAGTTATCTTGTTTATCAGTATCATTAATCTAATTGGACATATGGTTTTTAACTGTATACAAGAGCCTAAAATATTTCTATTCTGTATAGCGCTAAATCACATATATCAAGACTGATCACTGAAGCACCACGGTCCATTGAAAATACGTAAAGCTACAAAGATATCTGTGGTTAAATCAGAACTCATAAATTTAAAAAAAATACATTAAGAAACCACATTTTCACGCTAAAACACTTTCGACCAAAAAGATCGAACCGCCCCGATATAAAACTAATCCAAACTTACTTTATTATTTATTATTTATTTATTTATTACTACAGATACTACTCCTTTCCTTTTAATTTTGCTTCTTCTTCCAACTAGATCTTTTAATCTCTTTACAACCTTTAATCACAGAAAATTTATATCTATATTATTCAAAGCCCATTTATATAATAAATAAGTAAAATAAAAATTCCTTATTATAGTTAACTTGTGATGATCTACATGTAACATAATTTTGTAATGTAGGTAAATGTGTTAGTTTTTAGATTTAAATACTATATTAAGAGTTCAAAAACTCTTAATGTTTCTTGTATATGGCTTGTATATGACCCAATTAAGGGTCAGAGGAAAAATTTTATAATAAAATAATTTTATCTATCATAGAGATCAATCTAAAAATTACGTTCATAAAAAGAAATATTCTTGTTAAAAATTTTTTCAACCATTTAAAATACATTCTCTATAAAAAATATCACAAATAAGAATAAGAAAATAATCCCCAATGACTATATCAGACCAACAACGAATGAAGAAGCCTACCAAACGAAAATAGTTGAATCACTTTTTTCATAAATTTGTAAATTAGATCATGGATGGAACCTATAAAACTGAGGAACTTGGATAAGTTCTTATAGACGCTAACATTAGAAGAATTGATTAAATATTCTATTCTTTTCGATGACTTGTCAAATTTAAATTTTTCTTTTAGTCATTTTTAGGACTAAGAAAAAAATGAAATATAAATATATTGAAGAATCTTAAATAAAGAATCTTAATAACTACAAATGTACTTAAAGATTTATATCTGTTATACCTTACTCCTATATACATGACTACATATTAAATGTTGTGTGTATATCTGTTAATTTTGATCGATCAAGCCATAATTGACATATAACATTTAGTAATTATACATCATGGGTAATCTATATAAATATATATATACATATATATATTTTTTTTTATCCTTTATTTGTTATGAATACTATAATCTTTATTATATGTGAATTTGTTACTATTGTTGAAGTGTAATTAACTGAACCAGACTTCAGTTCCCCTTGGGTAATATATATGACAGATAATTCTGTAAATTCTAAGTAACATACTTCAATCTAGAACCGCAACTGCAATCCTTGTATAAAATATAAGATATGTCATATTGTCATTACATCTGAATATAGAATCGTGTGATCTGAGTGTAAATAATTTCAAGTAAACAATTTTTCATTAGCTCTGGATATTAAATATTGTAGATATTCATGATATTGATCTTGATATTGTAGGGTTATGATATTGACCTTATATATTGAACAAATAAGCAATAGCTTCTTAAGATTATATTGCATAAACAGAATATTTACATATAATAAATTATAATAAATATATATATATATATATATAGCGATATATAATAAGCCCCTTAAAATTAATTGTTTAGATTTTTTTAAGTCTATTAATGTTTTTGAAGACATTAGTTCAAAAATACATATTTACATAATTTATGTATTAAAAATTAGAAAGACTTTTTTTTCTATTCAATATGAAATGCAATAGCAAGTAAAATACTTTTAAATGTATTATGTGAATTAAACGCAAACTGCTATAAAGAACTTAAACTAATTTATTTTTTTTATTAATATTTTATTTACATAGACTAATTGTTACTTTTTGAAATGTAATATGATATACTAATATCCCTTCCAATAATAAATAAAATTACTTAAAAAACATTTTATAGAATATTAATAAAAAGTAAGTTAAAATTATTCACATTTATGTATAATAACAATAATAATAATATAACACTTCTTTAAGTTTTTTTTTTATTATTTATTATGACGTAAAAAAAGAATAAAATCGATTTAAGCTTTGCATAAACCCAGTAAAGTGTAAACGACCTAACTTAAAATTATTCACATTTATATGCAATATAATATAACTTGTCTATCTATGTCTTTAAATGTTTTATATTATTTCTGAGTACCGCAAAAAATTTTATTTTATTTAAATATAATATAATATAACGTGTCTGTTTATATAAGTGTTTTATATTATTTCTAATACCGTCAAATATATAAATCTTATTAAAATTTAAAAACAAAAATGCGTAGGAAAGATATGCACAGAACACGTCAACAGATTCGAAAATTTAGATTATAATCTCCCTTCTAACTCTCCCTTCTCTACTTCTAAAAAAACGAACTAGTAATCTTAAGAAAAAAATTGAATAAATTATTTTTATCTACTTTACATAATCTTTGGACAACAGTTTTTAATAGATTTGTCTTTAATCGATCGGGTTTTGAATATATATTAACTAATATAATTTTATAGTTTTAGAAAATAATAGTTTATTTGCCAATAAAATACTTATATCAATATTTTGTTATATGGTTTTTTGTACGATAATGAAAAAAGCATATACAAACACGTAAATAGTTGAATATGAAATACTGGTTTACTGATATATATTATAGCACTATAATGAAATGATTTTGGAAAAAAAATATATATATATTCAATAATAAATAACTAAAACGAGGATAAAAACAATTCAATTACAATATAAACATTGATATTGACGCGTTTTAATACAAATTTACGTCATCTGAACTATATATAAATATATTGATATGTATATTTTCGTATATAAATATCTCTGTAGTAATGTAACAGTCAATTAAACACAAAATTGTAACTATTTTTAAAACATTTAAGAAAACTAAATAAAATAACAATAACTAAACAATACAATAATTCAATAAAAGAAAACTAAAACTCAAAAGACAAACTAAGTGAAAAATTTAAATAAAAAGTATTAAATGAATGCCTAACTTTACTTAAATTATACTTTATAATATATAAATAATGTTATACATTATACTGTTATACAATATATAATTATAATTAAAAAATCAACTTACCTGTAATAGAGCATAAAAGGCGTAAAGTTGGAGTATTGCCGGAATATTGATTGATCATGCCCTGGCTATGTGCTTTAGGTGCGGGCATGCTCAATGTAATGGCCTTATGGAATTTGCGTCTACGTGGTTCAACAGTTACAATTGGCGAGACAGCAACACCGCGACCAAGTAGCTTAGCTGTTAGATCTGGGTCTACTGGTTGCGCCTAAAATAGTTCATAAACACAGTGATGATAACGTGTTCTTTATATTGCAACAACAATATACAAATATACAAATAATGAAATTTTTCAAAAATGGCCACTTAAATCTAAAATTTTATTTATACTCGTTTATATAAAAATAAAAAAGAATTCATACTATTTTGTTAGAAATCTAAAATACATTTATATTATATGTTTATAAATTTACTATTTTCATATTATATTTTTTTTTTTTTGTGGTTTTTATTACTTATAAAATAATAATAAATATTAAATTATTAAATTATTTTTTATTACGAATAATAATAATTTATTGATTAGTTAATATAGGCACATAATTTTTTGGGTTAAATGGTGAACATTTATACAATAGTTTTTGTTATGAATTATGTTCAGTGAATGAATGATAATGAATTAAATGAATTATTAAAAAAATGCAATATTTATTTATTAATATTTATTTATATACTCGTACATAAAAAAGAATATTACACAACATTTTAGTTTAATGCATTACAATCACTGAACATCGATTCTAATTTAATAACTAATAAATTTACTACAAAGGTATATAGTATATATACATACACATTATTAGTGTAAATGTTCAGACCCCATTTATATCCCAATAAATTTAGTTGATCAAAAAAAACTTTAACTACTAAAATTTATACAAAATCAAAACAACAAAATGTATGTTAATTTAATTATTTTACATAAACTATTTATAAAAATGTACGAAAAAAAATTAAACCAACATAGACAAATTTAAAAATAATTTAAAATAATTTCATTAAAATTTTTATTTTAAGAGGGCCATTGAAAAACATCATTTATTTTTTGCATATTTATATATTTCGGCACATCCATGAGGCGCATACCACACGTACCAGACCCAATTCTAATGTTTCAAAATATTTGCTTTTTAGGTTAAATGCAAAGTCAAGAAGTGATTGAAACTGTTTTAAGCAAAAGAACTCATTTTTATTCGGCAATCGAATCAAAAAGGATCAAATCAAAATTAATTAAAACATTTTTTTATATAAAGTTTTTGTTGAACTAAATTTATTGGGTACTTTTTCATTTGCAGTTTAGCTTATATATTTATATTTATAATTATACTCAATTTTAAGTGTATTACTCAATTTTTATATTAAGTTTAATAAGAGAATAAAGTTTTAATACATATCATAATATATAATAATAGTTAATAATAATTATAAAAAGAGTTAATAATTATTGTTAATGGACACAGAAGTTTATAGTTCACTTAGTTTTTTTTCCATCTTTATTTTATTTTATTTTTTTTTTGTGATCCTTGATCAATAAAGTATAATTTTTATATTTTTAAAAATATTTATTATGTTTTATGCGTCTTAGCATGAAAATTGTTTAAAACGAAAAAATTATATTTCTAAGAAAATATTATTCATTATGTATAAAATAATGTCATTAGAGACACAACTCGTTACATCAATAAAAATTTTTAAAATTTTTAAATATTTTTAAATTGAAAATAAATTTATATATATACGATATATGAATTTTTTATTTTAAATTTGTTCAATTAAATCGAGTAAATTACATATTTTAAGTTAAGCTCGTTATAAACACTTTTCAGATTTAGTTAATGTTTTAAAAGCATTTAAATATAATTTAATAAATTACAAGTGCATATATAATCAACATATAATGTTCATCATATTCATATCATATTATAATTTTTTATTCAATAAAATATTGACAAATAAAAAATTGTAGCAACCAATCTAAAAAAGAATTGCAATTCAAAATTTAAGTTCAGAAAAATTGATTTTAATAGAATATAAATAAAAAGTTATATTATGAAAAAAGTTTTTACTTTCAATAATTTGGAAATAATATTTGAGTTATTGCACATTTAAAAGCGAAAAAAATTTAACTATTTAATTTACCAAATATTTAAATACAAAAATATAAAAAACAATTTTTACCAAAATCGAGAAAACTGTTTTCTCCATAATAGAGTGATAAATCACACTATTTAGAATTTCAAAAAATATATATATGGGAACTATATAGTTAAAGCCAAAAAATTAATTTAAATAAAAATTATTTGTTCTCTTTTAAAAATTGTTTGTCATTATTAATTTTAAAAATTATAAATATATATATGTATAGTTTAATTATTCAATTTTTTTATAAAAAAAATTAAAAGTATCAACTCAAAATACATTAGTTTTAAATTGCAATACTTTTTCAGATTAAATATGCATTGTAATAAATTAAAAATTGCATTACAAACTCTATATATAATTAATTTACACAAAATGGAGTCATTAAATAAAACAGTTTAAAACTGCTGCTACACATATATTGTTTAACAAAATAATAAAATTAATAATTAATTAATTTTTATTATAATTATATTTTTTTAATATATTAACATTTAAAAACATATATTTACTTTTTTAAAAAGTGAAGACCTTATTATTGTGTAAAATTATTATATATAAAATTTTTAATATATTTATGAATATATTTATATATATTGTTTATATATTTGCTTATTGATCACTTTAATAATATAAAAATTTTATTATTAATATTTGTGTGTTATATTGATCAATCAGCCCATATATGAAAAATATACAAAAATATGGTGATCATAAAAAATATTTAAATAAACTTTAGAAATTATTTTTATAAAAATATTTTTAAACAATAAAAATATAATTATCATTTCTATTACTTTATTAAATTAAAAATATTATTTTATTATAATTTATATTTCTTGAAATAAATTATTATAATTGTAAAATTCAAAAATTGTATTCGAAATGTATTTTAAAAAAATGGTGTTCTTTCTCAATTCTTAATTTTGGAAGAGTTTATACAAAAATTCTTTAATTAAAAAGTACTTTGAAAAGTATCATATACATATACATATATAACTACAAATATAGCTTTTTTATTGTAAGATATCAAAAAAATGTTTAATATATAATACAAATATAGTGTATTACATTAAATAGCTTTTTTAAGTTATCAAAGGTATAATAATTATTCATAAATAAGTATATATTATATATATGTATATATATACACATATATACATACATAGATATACATATATTAAATATTAAATAATATTAGATAATATTAAATTTAAACATAACTTATATATATTTAATATATATGTGCATATATAATTTAAATATTTTTATAATTAAAAATTATTTAAGAAATAAAGAATGAACGTACTAATACCAGAAATACCGTACTTAATTCTGTATACATTATATTTTCTTTTTTTTGTTTGTTTGCATTGCACAATTATTATTAATATTTTTTTAATATTTTTTTTTATTCATTTTCAAAAACCTATTTGTGCTTTCAGATTCATAATATTACCAACTACATTTATGCATATTAAATATTGTATATATTATAAAATTAATATTTAAAACTTATTGAAATATATTTCAAAATTTATAAATTTCACTGATTTCTATGAAATACGAAAAGATTTATTAATATTCGTGTGTTAGAATATTTTTATCGTTTATTAAATTATTTTGCTTATAAGCAAATTATTTATTTATATTCATTTAAACCAACTTAAATAGGCTTAGAGAGTAAAATTAAATAATTTGAAAAAATAAGTATATAAAAATTTAAATAATTTTATTGAATATAATAGTAATGTGAACATTTATACCCATATTAATCCCATCATAAAAATGACTAACATATCAAGTTAAATGGGTTAATTTTTCTTTAGATAAGTCAAGTAGTTACTTCAATTCATATCTCTTTCAAAGCCGACGTTTGTTAAAAGCTTAATGGTCTTATACAATTTATCATGTTATATTTTCAAATATAATTTCTTGTTTGGTAATTTAACATTAATTATTATCAACTAAATATTTTTGAATAATTAATGATAATCTTAATCGATCATTAATCATTATTATATTTTTACGTATAATTTTTCTTGTTTAATCATTGATTATTTTTTAGTAAAATTTGTTTGGATAATCAACGATAAAAATAATCATATTTTGAAGGGACAAAATTGGTTTATAAAATATTAGTAGACTTGTTGGAGAAATAGTATGACTTGATAATATTTTTTTTGCCAACAATGA